TTCGGCCCCACACCCGGGTTCGGCCCCACACCCGGGTTCGGCCCCACGCCCGGGTTCGGCCCCACACCCGGGTTCGGCCCCAGGGCGCTTCGGGCCCTGTCTCGGCCCCGAGGGTGCGGTGAGCGCGCGCGGCCGGCAGGGGGCGCCATTGCTCGCGGGAAGGCGGCGCGGCCCGAGCGGGCCCGGGGCTGCCGCAGGAGCGGCCTCGGGATCCACCGGGACACAGCGGGACACAGCGGGACACAGCGGGATACAGCGGGACACATCGCTCCCGATCCACCGGGATCCACCGGGATCCAGCGGGATACACCGCTCCCGATCCACCGGCATACAGCGGGATACACCGCTCCCGATCCACCGGGATCCACCACTCCTGATACACCGGGATACACCGCTCCCGATCCACCGGCATCCCTCGCTCCCGCGGACCCCGCTTGTCCCCCCCGCCCCGCACCCTCCGCCGGCAGCGGGGCCGCCCCCACCCCCGACCCCCGGGACCGGCCGCATGCGGGGCACGAGGCCCACCCCCACCCCAAATACTCACCATATTGACTTCCGAGACCATATCTATACTGGCAATGTCTATGTTCATGCCCACAGCCACTGGGGGACCTGCAAACCGACAAGATGGTCCGCAATGTGATCTCGATGAACTGAACTCGTTCTTACCGGAGTTCGCTGGCGAAGGCAGCGTACACATGAAACGTTGTTTAAGCATAATCAGAAACTCAGGAGGAAGGCAAGAAGTGCTCCCCACTCCTTCACACCCCCCCCGGCGAGCCGCTGGTCCCGCGGGACCGAGCCGTGCCCACCGAGCCGTGCCCACCCAGCCGTGCCCACCCAGCCGTGCCCGGGCTCACCCCCGCGCCCCCACAGCCCGGCCGTGCTTTATGTAACCGGCACACACGTGCTGGCACCGGGGCCCCGCTCCGCTCCCTCCCCGCCCGACACCCCCAGCCCCGCGCCCGGGAACGGCGGCCACCGAGCCCCGAGGGAGGGATGGGGGACCACCCCTAGCGAACACGTCCGAAATAAACAAACTAGTTCGAAGCAGGAGCACGCAGGGGGTTAAATGGCATTTTTGTATCAGTTAACAGCACATCTTGTACTCAAATATAGTAACTGTGATCACAGGCATATTATGCTGAAAGGAACAAAGGTTGGGTAAACTTAAGAGAGATTTGCATCTCGATAAAACCAGTTAAACGAGGATTTAATTACGGTTAATAAAGTATCAGCACACACAAAAAATGAGGGACCGATTACGAATATGCAAGCGATTTAAGTGATCGCATTAAGAGCATCCTGTGCTAAGAAAATTAACAATGGGCTTAACTTTGGATCAGCTTGAGAAAATGGCAACACCCCCCCCCCCAAAGCAACAGCACCCACAACACGTTTGAAACCCCCCACACCAAAGGTACACAGCCCGGATATGCAACCTCTCTTATTCAAAAGCAGCCAAATTACCTCCAAAATCTGGCCTCAAGCGAATATCATAGCCCTTCAGCAGTCTATCCACCGTCTCTTTTACCAGTGACATATTACTAGGGTCATTGACACTAAAGAAAAAAAAGAGCAATACCATATTATTCCTGATTTCTCAGCCCCCAGCTGTACATTCCTCTCAGCAGCAGCATGCACTGCAATTCAAAGTAAAGGAAAAGAGATACCTTCATCGCTTACCTCTGTGCACACACCGCGGCTATTATTAACGGGAATGACCAAATCCCAAAGTAACCCTTTCTCCGGACTCTCAGCATCCCTTTAGCTTTTGATATGATTTAGGGTTTCAGTGAAGAGAAGAAGAGATCCAACTTATTCTGGCCAGTGCAGTAATTCTAATGTGAAGCGCATGCGCACGGCGTACCACAACATCAAAAGGAGCAGTGGTTGCTGCTGGAGATGGAGCAAATTTCCTTGCCAGAAAAAAAAATTAAAGGGGAAGAAGGAAATGCATTATTTAAAAAAAAAGGCAACCAAACAAAACTCATCCACAGGAGGATCCAGTATATTTTTGTTGTCCTTTTTGTTAGTATAGAATATAAATCACAGCAAGAAGAGAAGTTTCAGGAGTTGCTTGGTACGGCGGCTTTGCAACCTAGTTTAGGGGAGGTGGGGGCTGGACGGACTCGGCTTAGGCAGAGGGAGAATAGGTTAAAAAGGGGAATGCACAGCGTACGTATGGGGGCAGGTGCGGGAGAGAGGGGGCAGCTTAACTTTTTGGTCTCTGGAAAGAACCTCCTGAAGCGAGGAGAGGTGCGGGTGAAGGAGCCGGTGCTGGCAACGGGGGCGGGCGGGGGGGAGGAGGGGAGATGGGCGCCTACAGTATTTCTCACGGAGAAAAAAAAATGATGACGAATAGTTTCTTGTAAGAGAGGATTAGGCTGTTTCTTCCCTTCCTGCGATGCCAGGCGCTATTCCAGGAGCAGAGGCGCTGGGGACCGAGGGGGTCACTGGCTGGGGACCGAGGGGCGGGCGCGGAGCCCCCCCGGCCCCGCTCCCCCGGCGCCTTTGCCACATCCCGACCGATATTTAACCCGGGGATGCAAGTTCTTCAGGGAGAGCGAAACCTGGCCACGGAGCTGGGGGAGGGAGGGGAGACGAGGGGAAGAAAAACACCACCCTGCAAGGCTTTCAGTGACCATCCAGACCCGGTGTAGGTGCATAAGCCCACTTACCTTAGCGGGTAGAACACCCAAGCTCTTCAAATGCAGCGTGTGATCCAGTTAATGCCTCGGAAGGAACAGGCGACGAGCGAGAAGCTGATCTGGGGATGCTTTGAGTGACATTTAAATCCTGAGCACAAAAAAAGATTGAAAGGAGAAGGAGAAGGGAAAAACCAGACTCCCGAAAAACAACAAACAGAGGAGCCAAATTATTCTTCTCAAATGTGCTTTGTGCTCTTCACACCTCCTCCCCACGCACACAGCCCCGGCCCCGCGGTCTGTGCTGCTCCTCCGAGCCCAGCTGGGCGGGCACCGGCCGGGCCGGCCCGGGTGCGCGGGCAGGGGATTGGGAACACTTGGGGCGGCAATTAACAAAAGAAACGTTTAACGCGCTGCAGGAGGGTGGAGGAGCGGGGGAAAAAAAAAAAAAAAAAGGAGAGAAATGAGAGAAAACGGCGGGTGGTGGGGGAGGGACAAGGGTGAGGGAGTTGCACAGCGGGCGAGGTGGGTTGAAGAGCCCGGCAGGGCTCGGGGCTGGCGCGGGGCTGAGGCGCTCCAGAGCTCCCTGCCCTGCCCTGCGCCTCCCGCACCCCCGGAGAGCGGCGGGGTGCCCGGCCCGGCCCCGGCCCAGCCCCAGCCCGGCCCGGCTGAGGGAGCGCCGGGGGCCCAGGGCCGGGGGGCTGCGCGGGCGGACGGGGCGGCGGCTCCCGGGGAAGGGCTGAGGGAGGCGGGGGGTGAAGCCTCACCTGGGGGGCGGGGAGGGGGGAGCGCTGCCCCCGAGAGACGGCGGAGCCGCCAAAGGAGCGAACGGGCAGAGCCTGGCGCAGCCGGCAGCCCGCGGAGCTGGCAGCCATTGAACGCGGCCCGGCGGAGCCGCGGCTGGAGCGCTCGGCAGCGGGGGAGCCCCGGGGCTGCCCCTCTGCCCCCGGAGCTGCCCCTCTGCCCCTCTGCCCCCGGAGCTGCCCCTCTGCCCCTCTGCCCCCGCAGCCCCCCCTCTGCCCCCGGGGCTGCCCCTCTGCCCCGGCAGCGCTCGCCCCGCCCCGCTGTGCCTTCGAGCTCCAGAGAGCGCCTGCTTGGGCTTTTCTTACAGCACCGAGCATCCAAACACATCTTCTGGGGGGCTGGGGGCAATTCCTCAGACGTATTTTTACAACCTTCTCCTGTTTGTCACAATTGGAATTACACAGTGAGAAAATACACTTTTCCAGCTGAAATTGCCAAGCGTGTATGTGTGATAAATGTGTCTCATTCGTGTATTGACAAGAAAAAAACCCAAACACGTTAAAGAAACGTTTAAGGATTTTTAAAACCACAACCCCCCGAGCCCCACCTCTGTTCCAGCTCTGCTCCGCGGCCGATGCTCCAGAGCCGCTCTCCTGCTCACCAGCGGAGGTTTCTGTTCTCACACAGCCAGGCTGCCTCGCTGCCAAACCTCTTGAAATTTAGCCCTGAAAGGAAGATGGTGGATACGCTGTGCAATGAATCATTTTACTTTAGATCTATGATAGGCACTTTTTTTCTCCTGCAATCATATGATAAGAGCAGGAGGTCTCAAGATAAAACACTAATCCTGCCCTGTGAAATTCACCTGCAAATGCTAACTTGAGACTACAGTTGACACTCCTGATTTCTGAGCCGTTTCCGAGCCTCTGCTATTAATTGCCTTTACAGCACAGTAATGTGTCATTCACCACCCCTGATTATGAACGAGATACCAACATGAACCTGCTACTGAAGGCTGGTAATATTCAGTGCTGCACTGATAGGAGGTTTTGATTTACATATCAACTCAAACTCAGGGGCAGAAAAGTAACACATTTTCACTGAATGTTAGAATAGTACACAAAAAGAATGCAAGCTATGCCAAAATATCTAGCGTTTGTTCTTTGCTCTGGTATATGCAGGGAACACTTGTTCTGGGCCCAGAGCACCACTGTGCCATGTGCAGTGAAACCTACTCTCAGTCTGGCTCTTCCAGCAAAAAGGAACTGAACATATCTCCAGTGAATTCAATACATGTGGATATTACTGTGTATTGTTGTGGAAAATTAAAGTATAACCTTGGATTTGGGAAGTGTAAAGGCACTACTGAACCATGTTTGGGATGATCTGCATAACTCAATGTGGCTGTAAATGCACCACTGTCTAAAGGGGTCTATGGCAGTAACAGTCTCAGCACCATTGCAGGCTCTGTGTGCCCAGACCAGCCTGTGACACAACATCTTTATGTACTGACAGAGTACAATACTTTGCCTTTTGCAAAGGTTCTCATACTTTGCTATGCACTTTGACATTACTACTCTTTCTCTGACCACAGGGTTCTGGTCTGTCTCTGCCATTTAAAATTTCTTATCGCCTTCAAAATCTCTCATTTATTTTAAGCAACTTGTCAAAGAAATCATTCCCCTCTTTTTCTCACTTGTGTCTGTGTGTTTGATTGAAAACTAGAGGAAGTAACTGGTGTGAACACCAGTACTGGCAAGGTGCAGAGCCGTTCATGTGACGTGTTTAAGGATTGCTGAGACTTTGGGTGTCTTACAATGGGCAAATAACCTGGTTCCCAGCTGGATATGGTACTTGTAGCTCTAAAAATATCTCAATTAGACTACAAGTACTGTAATCTCACAGAGAAGCCAGCAAAGATGGTCATATTTTAAACAGCGATTGTAGATTATTTCGATTCTTAACTTTCAAGATTGAGGAGTGCAAAAAACCAGCCCCCAAGCTGAAATCCTCTACACTTGCCCTTGCTGGGCAGTGTGTGACACTGAGAAAGAAGTGGGCTGGAAAGGAACGTTGTACTTCACTCGTCAGCCCTTGACTGTGGCAGTATTTTCCTGTCACAAGTAATATCCCAGGCCACGTACTAAGAATTCCAAAGGATTTTCAAATGGCTTTTTGTAAATGTATAGACTATGCAAAAATAAGCTTTCAGGTAGAGTAAGAATTTCAAGATAGATTCTCAAGTGATCCAATCACTCCAGTCAGTAGAGACAGAAGAGATGCTGATTGATGGCAGCCCAAGAACAGTAGCCCTGTATCACAAGTAGTGTGACTAACAAGTGCAAAATCCCACGTAAAAAAAGATTCTTCTCACTGCACCTGAACAGGCTGGTATGAATATGGTTCTATGGAAGTGATGTTTCCAGAACAGAAACACTCAAGTGAAAGTTGATACCAGGTATCAGGTAAGACATAATTCTCTAATTTACAGAAGAATGTTAATAATAAAATATTTTGATACATGATTTTAATTTCCAACTCCTGTAAAGCCATAAATTCATGTAAAAGAAAACAAAATATAGTCAACCCTTGTAGAAATTTTCTGAACAAGGTTTCAATATACCTTATCTTGTTTCACTTGTCATTTTAGGTCTTCAGATCTAGGGTGTCCCAGTCCATGCATCACACAGCATCCCATTAGCAATCAGTCTGTCAGCATAAAGATCCCTGTTACATCACATACACAGAAAAATTATTCATGCAGGGGTGCCTTGATGCTGCTTTTCATGGGCAGTGGAATTCACTTCTGCATAGTGACAATCTTCTGGGATTTACAGGTTGACATCAACTTCAGCTCCCGTGTATCTGAGAGAATCCAAATTGGCAAATTTATTGACAAAAGCAATAGAGGATGACCTGCCAGTTATACTGCTCTTGGCCCTTAAAAAACTGTGAAATTATTAGTACTGTGCAGAAACTGAGTCTGATAAGTTGCTTAGGAATCAAGTACCACTTGATACAAGCATGAGCTTCACTTAATTGTAAGAGAAGAGCAAATGGGAGGGGCAATTAATAATCACTTACTGGTTTGCATAATTACATAGGATTTGATTTGCTGGAGCTGCTGTTTCTGTCACTCACTGTGTGCAGCTCCACAGGGTTACAGGCACTGGACGGGAGAACTTCCCAGTTCATGACCGAGGCTGTGCTTTAGGAGTCAAAAACCTGCTATATCTTTTAACAGAAATCTTTTGTGTAGTTTGAGATCAGCAGATCTTAGATGTATATTGAAGAAAGTCTTTTAATGTGAAGTTGAATTACAGGTTAAAAAAAAAAATACAAGGTTGTGTGAGGCATTCCCAAGTGCTTTGATTGCAGCCAATTGTCAGTAACTCAGTGGGGACACAAAACGCCTGGCACCTGGATTGAGATCTACAGTCCTCTTAGCAAATCATGAAAGCTCCACAAAAAGCCCTGTTTCCTTCAAAGTGGTAGAATAAATTAGTTTAAGAGCTATATAGACAGCAAT